CCAAAAATGGACACGTGTCGTCTATTGAAGGCCACTAACTTCTTTGTATATATAATATATAAGAGAGATATATTCCGTATACACACAACATATACTGAACAAATAAAAAAATATGTCTTCTTTTTTTACTGGAAATATACGTAAAAAAACCGAGAAAAACGAGGACGTGAAATTTTATACCGAAAAAATTATGTCTTCTAATATACCGAAAATTTTGGGGGGAATTGTTACCTGACATACATAAAATTATACTTCAAATATACTAAAAATGTGTAAAAGGTGCAGAAAGCAGTGACAAAGTGTATAGCGTAGAAAGAGAAAAGATACTTCAGATAGAGAGAAAAGTTACCTCGAATATACATATAACCAGATAACCAGAGAAAAGTTACTTCGGATATACTTGGATATACCAAACGTATAACCCAACAAAGCTCAACAAATGATGGTCCATTTATTAAATATTTCAGCCCAACAATAGTTATTGAAAAGGTCAATCCACATACATGTCAACCCAATACCCGTCCAAATAGACCAACAAAACAAGTGTTCCAAATTTTGTTGTTTGTGATCTTAAGTGGCCAGCTCATTTAAGGCCTACTGAAGATAAAAATTATAAAGAGAAAATTGCATAGTTTACCAAACCATTCCATCTTTATGCACAATGACAACTCTTATATATTTATTAAAAAAGTAACTAAAATTATTATATTTATTTGCATGTATACTAGAAGTTCAGTTTTAACATATTTTTATATAATGAAGAAAGTGGTGGATTTAATGTGATTGTTGGTTTGTAGCCACTCGCATATAGTAATGAAATTAAAGGAGAGGAGCGAAAGTCACGGAGCTCTACTGCCAATCGGTCCCTCAAACCAGAAGAAGAAATAAGTCAGATATGGTAACTCACCTAATTATATGAGATTTTAATTTTTATTGTAACTATTTACGTCTAACATCAACTTCATCATCTTCCAATAATTGCAGACATTCACTTGGCACCTTTGCTGCTACTCCTCATACTTTCCCGTCGTGCTCTACCTCGTCGTCATCCTGTCGGAAGGTGTCCTTACAATCCTCTTGATCCTGCATCAGGCCTGCAGGTAGATTTCGGTCAAGCGAAAAGTATATACATAGAGGTTGCGATCTTCGTAAACAGACATGGTGGCTACCAGATATGTTCCAAACATCCGGTTGGTCGGCGTGCTATCTTCGTACGGGAGGCCTGTTCATCTACGGCGGTGCCGAACTTATGAGCCGCTTTCCATGCAGTTGTTTCTTTTTTTAAAAAAAAAAAAAAAATAATGAACTACGGCGGTTGCGCGTCCCTCCCCTTCTCCTTTCCAACGAGGAGGTCAAGTTGGAGATAAAGAAGGCGAGGCCAGAAGCTCGGGCTCGTGGAGATGTCGACAGTATATATTATGTGTAAAGGCAGTATATGTTCATTATATGTTTTTGTCGCCCGTGCTTCGTGTGTTTCTCATATAGCCCATGCTCCATTTGTTTGAGTTCAAATGACAGGCTTCTGATTCTTTGATTTTGTCATAATGTTTTGACTTTTATTTGGTATCACCCTGCTTGTGACCCATGGCGGTCTTGAGTGTGCATTAGACCATGTACAATGGTTGTCTAAATAAGAAATTGCTTAGAATATTTTAGTATTATTTTGGTGGGACCCTGTGCCATTAAGCAATTATATGATTTAAGCAATTCAATCCCACAATGGTTAATTGTTTATTAAGCAACTCATGCGGGTACCATATTTATAATTAAAATATAAATTTTTTTTAAAGCAACTTGTAATATTCAATTAAAATTTTATAATGCCCATAAATTCTGATTGCTTGTGGATTGCTTATTCAAGCAATTGCTTAACCTAAGCAATTGCTTGTCTTCTCTTCACAATGGAAAATTGCTTAAATAGCAATTGCTTATTTTTAAGCAATCAGCTAAGCAACCCCATTGTAGATGGTCTTAGAGACGTTTAATCGTTGTCTTTTACCTGATGCATCTTGTTTTAATTGAAAGTGTGTTTTACTGTTTGTTTTCCACACACCTCTGTTGTTATGAGTAGTTTATAATATGCAAATAATCCATAATTTTATTCTGGTTATGCTTACTATTTTATGCTTTATCTATTCTTTTTTTTTTCTTTTTTTTTTCCAAAACGACAGAGGTATTATAGAAGAGCACAAAAGTGCAAAAGATCAAATTACAAGACCCCAACAGGGTAATACAAGACCCCAACAGGGTAATGAGACAGGGGCCAACGGCCCAAACCAAAAACACACCTAAAAACAAACATGAAAAAAAACTAAGAGGACACGCACATGGCGTGCTAGAGAACTCCACAAACGGGAAACAAAGGAAAATGAAAAACAGAACCACTGCACAATCCCTAGCCTGTAATCATATCCGAAACAAAAACGAACAAACACACTGAGCCAATCCTAAACCACATAAAAACCAACACAAAGCAAACAACCAAAAGGAAATAAACAAACGAAGCCCTTCCCCAGCAAGGTAACCGATCCCAGCACAAGGCACCACCATAACAAGGACTAAACATCCCGCAGCAAGATAAAAAATTTGGAACCTCACCGCCGCCACTGCCAACCGCCTAGAAAAGGACGAGTCCCGAGCATCGAACTTCACCAAGGATGTAGTCGACCCATAGCCGGAGAAGCACTGATCCTTCCCCCAACACGCCAACAGCCCAAGACCCCAACCAAATACCATTTACCTAGGCCCTGGCTTGTCGGACGTCCGCCTACCCTGGGGACACGAATTGACCACCTCAGCCTCGGTGGACTCTGTTAGAGTAGTATACCCGGCGTTCCAATTTGATTGGAAGTATTATACTTGTAAA